CCAGGCAAGAATACTGGAGTGGGTTGCCATTCCCTTCTCCAGGGGGTCTTCCTGACCCAGGGATCAAACCTGAGACTTCTGCATTGCAGGCAGAATCTTTACGGTTTGAGACATCAGTGAAGCTCCAGGGAAATGTGCACATAGAGGAAAGACCACGTGAGGACACAGTGGGGAGGCAGCTAGCCGGAAGCCAGGGAGAGCCAACCCTGCCGGCACCTTGATGATGAACTTCCAGCCTCCAGAACTGTGAGAACATGTCTCTCTGCCGTTCAGCCCACTGAGTCTATGGTATTTTGTTACAGCAGCTGGAGTAGACTAAGGCAACCTGGGCCACTGAGAAAGTAGGGGCTGGTTAGACCAGTGGGTTGCTGGAGGGCATTGTAAACAGAGGGAAAAAATAAATAAATAGAGGAAAGAGCATCTGGTTGAATCCTCATAGCAACAGATAAAAGGTTCATAATCTAATCTACAATAATGGTTAGGAGTGTGGGCTCTGGAGTCAAACCGGTGGGACTCAATCTTGGGAAAGTTACTTGACTCAGTTTTCTTTTTTAAAAATATAATCTCATTTATTTAGTTTTGGCTGTGCTGGGTCTTCGTTGCTGCAAGCAGGCATTTCTCTAGTTGTTGCAGCGAGCAGGGCGGTTACTCTCTAGTTGCATTGCTTAGGCTTCTCATCTCAGTGGCTTTGCTTGCGGCACACAGGCTCTGGGGCCTGCAGGCTCAGTAGTTGTGGCTTGCTGGCTCCAGAGCGCAGACTGAGCAGCTGTAGCACACTGGCTTAGCTGTTCCATGGCATGTGGGATCTTCCTGGACCAGGGATTGAACCCGTGTCGCCTGCACTGGCAGGAGGATTCTTTACCACTGAGCCCCCAGAAAGCCCATGTAACTGTTTTCAAAGCTAGCAAGTGCAGTTAACAGTAGATTCCATGGTAGGGTTTCTGGAGGGAGGGTTCGAGTTCTTCACTGTAAAGTATGTGACTGGCACATAGCGCTGGAATTGCTAAAAATGAAAATGTTAGAAGTTGCTTCTTATCTGAGAATAACTCATAGCCTCAAAGTTTTGTTGGAATGTTACCTACAGTGGCACGTCTTCACTGGTTCCACTCCAACCTGCGTAAAATCATTCCCCCCCCCCCCTTATTGGGAAGTAAGACCATCTGTTTCTCAAATCTGTATTCTTCATGTCGTGTTACTGAGGGTTTGGATTCTGTCCTAACGTCTTCTGCTATAGGCCATGGAAACCTATCATTTGAAAAACAGAAGTAAAATTAGGCTTTTGGGGAGTGAGGACTGGTTGTTGCTGTTAGTCGCTCAGTTGTGTCCAACTCTTTATGACCTGATGGACTGCAACACACCAGGCTTCCCCGTCTGTCACTATCTCCCAGAGTTTGCTCGAACTCATGTCCATCGAGTCGGTGATGCCATCCAACCGTCTCATGCATGGAAACCATGATAGTTTGCGGGAGCTGGACAAGAAGAGGGGACTGTAGTTCTGAGGGGGAGTTGGATCCCCCTTTTCCCAAGCTCTCATGGTCTAGGAAGTGCCAGGGACCTGGAAAGGAGCCACTCTGGGGATACCACTAACTTCCAAGAGCAGGAGGGCCCTTGGAGAAGGTACTGCCCTGTGACACCAGGAGATTCAGAAGCTGATAGATGAACAGAAATCCAACAGGCAGGTGGTGTTGATGGGTGGTGAGCCAGGCTGGAGGGCTTTCATGCCCCCAAATTAGGGACTTCAGGGACTGGACAGCATGCTACACACTCACCACACCACTGCATGTACTATGTGTGCTAAATCGCTTCAGAGGTGTCTGACTCTGAGACCCCATGGACTATAGCCTGCCAGGTTCCTCTGTCCATGGGATTTTCCCGGCAAGAATACTGGAGTGGGTTGCCCTTTCCTCCTCCAGGGGATCTTCCTGACCTAGGGATTGGGATGCCACCCACAGTCATTCTCATTCAGTCATTCAAAGATATATTAGGAAGGAGGATGTTATTCATCAGAATTTTTTTTACATCTGTCTTTTACATCTATGCTCAGCAAGGTAGTGAATAAAGCATGGGCTTTCATTCATTCCTTCAACATGAATTTGTGGAGCAGGATCCCAATATTCACTGTCTAAGGGTCAGCAGGTCCATCTCTGTGCATTTCAGTTCACACATGTATTAACAGAGGACAATAACACCTATTACTGGGTTGACATAAAGTTAAAAGAGGGTGAGGACATGAAAAATTGGCACATACTAATGTCACTTAACACCCTCCCCCACCCCCCAATCAGCGCTGTGACAGTTGATTATTTTACTTTTCTGTTGCAGTGCTGGGGAGGCAATGGGGGAGCTTCTCAAATGGTGATACCACAACTTGGTTCATTAAGTTATTGTAAAACAGGAAGAGGAAGACTTCCCTGGGTGGGGTCTCTTCCAGGCCTGGCATTATTAGTTGCTCTGGTCTCTGGAATGAATGTGACATTTTAATAATGCAGGAAAGGTTAGATACATCACAGAACTTTTCTAGTTCTGGCTATGGTCTCTTGCTGTACATTGAGAAAAAAGTTTCCAGCAAAATAAGATTATGTTGTTTTGACATAAATTCTCTTATCAGTTAGGATTAGGTTCACTTGCACTCCTCATCCACTTCCTCTAATTTAGTCTTCAATAGATAACATTTCTTTTTCATGTTAAAGAATAGAGTTAGGCATTCTAGGACTTCTGGGACAGCTTCACAAAACCATCAGAAACCCATTCCCCTTCCATCTCTACCTGTAGGGTAGCCTCTTGCTCCAAGTGGCTGCTAATGCTCCAGTCATTGCACCCATATTCCAGGCAGCAAGATGGAAGAATAGGGAGAAGATAAGAACATCCTCTCCCTTTTAAAAAGTCCCACATTTCTTCAGTGGGAAATTAGGCACACAGCCACACCTCTGTCAGATAATCTGGAAAATGAAGACTTTAGGGTGGGCAGTATGTGCTCAGCTAAAAACTAGAATTCTAATACAAAGGTGGAAAGGGAGGCGGGAGGTTTAAGGGGGGCAAATTGCCATTGCTCTCATCTCTTCCATTCTGGAGAAGACACATAGCTGTTTCTCCTTTCTGTGTTTCTCCCACCCTACACAAAAACTGTCATTAATGTCTTGACATCTGAAACTGAGGGAAACAAGTGATGATGCTACTGTGCTTCATCCTGGGCCAAAGGAAGAAGAAATGGGATCATTCTTCCACCCATATGCTCATGCTCTTCTCACATGTTTTTTCATTCTCTCTCTTTTTTCCACCATCTATATGCACAGAGTTCATGTTAAAACTGCTCTTTGGGCATAAGGCTAAGTGAAATAAGGTCAGACAGAGGAAGACAAGTACTGTTTGATATCATTTATATGTGGAATCTCAGAGAAGGCAATGGCACCCCACTCCAGTACTCTTGCCTGGAAAATCCCATGGACGGAGGAGCCTGGTGGGCTGCAGCCCATGGGGTCGCTAAGAGTCGGACATGACTGAGGGGCTTCACTTTCACTTTTCACTTTCATGCATTGGAGAAGGAAATGGCAACCCACTCCAGTATTCTTGCCTGGAGAATCCCAGGGACGGGGGAGCCTGGTGGGCTGCTGTCTATGGGGTTGCACAGAGTTGGACACGACTGAAGTGACTTAGCAGCATATGTGGAATCTAACAAATACAACAAACTAGTGAGTAAAACAAACAAGAAGCAGACTCATAGATATGGAGAACAAATTAGTGGTTGTCAGTGGGGAGAGGGTAGGAGGAGGCACAACCTTGGGGCAAGGGCCAAAAAAAAGGGTTATTATGGGGTTAGATGACATCACGTGAGTGAAACTATTGAAAATTGTAAAGCATTATAAAATTTAAAGAATTTTTCATTCAATTAAAATAAATAAAAAACAAATAAAAATTGCCCTCTGAGGGGACTTCCCTGGTAGTCTAGTGCCTAAGATTCTGAGCTCCCAGTGCAGATGGTCTAGGTTCAATCCCTGGTCAGGGAACTAGATCTCGCATGCTATACAGAGTGGCCAAAAAGATCTTTAAAAAGGGGGAGAAGGGTGGTGCATAAGGAAAAAATATCAAGATTTTAAATATAGATGAGACATCCGTGTTAGTGATTTTTTTCTTTGGTTTGGGTCTGGCACTGCTTATCCTCTCATTGTACCCCTGGGGAAGGGCCATGTTGCAGATTGTGACTCAAAAGAGCCCAGCATTTATTCTGGTAAATGGCAGAGAGGGAACTTGAGCCCAGAACCCCAACTCTCTGTGCTTCTCTTCATAGGACTGCAGGCAGCTGCTTGGTTTTGTAGAAGCAGTGTCTAATTGAGGAGCAGGACACTCTACCTTCTCCAAAGGCAGCTGGGACCCTAAGCGTCTGAACTAACTCCTTTTCAGAGGGGCCAGGCAGCAAGGAGATCAAACCAGTCAATCCTAAAGGAAATCAACCCTGAATAATCATTGGAAGGGGACTGAAGCTGAAGCTCCAATACTTTGGCCACCTGATGCAAAGAGCTGACTCACTGGAAAAGACCCTGATGCTGGGAAAGATTGAAGGCAGAAGAAGGGGGCGACAAAGTATGAGATGGGTGGATGGCATCACCGACTTAATGGAGATGAGTTTGAACAAACTCCCGACGATAGTGAAGGCCAGGGAAGCCTGGCGTGCTGCAGTCTGTAGGGTCGCAAAGAGCGGGACATGACTGAGAGACCGAACAACCCCTGGAGATAACCCATGGAGCAACCTTGAGAGAGAAGTCACCACTAAGCCTCATGTCACCTTGCTGGGGGGATGGGGTCCGGGGGCACAAGCCAAAAAGAGACTTCAGCTTGAAAGACAAACATGCTGAGGAAGAATTAGCCTGACCTGGAATCCTTAAGTTTCAATGGACAGGAGTCCGAGTAAGCTCCGGGAGATGGTGAAGGACAGGGAGGCCTGGCGTGCTGCAGTCCATGGAGTTGCAAAGAGTCGGAGACGACTGAGCAGCTAAACTGAGTTCTTAAAGGCGCAGAACTTTTCCTTTAAATCTCTCAGCAGCAGAGCGGCTTGCGCAGGACCAAAGACTGAAATCAGTTAAAGTAAAAACAAACCAAAGGATCCATTCGGAGAGCTTGGGCTTTGTAGGAACTCGGTGGAGGCTTTTCCACGCTGTATTTTTTTTTTTTTTTTTTTTTTTTGCAAACGGGCCTCTAGTTTTGCAGGCTGACTGAAGGAGGAGAGGCCGGTGGATGGGCGGCTGGAAAGCATCCGAGATGGTTGCAGAGATCCGTTTTTCTCCTTGGAGCACGGACGGGGGTAGATCTGGTCTCAGCTGGGGCAAGGCGCCCGGGTGGCCACGCCTGCATCCCTCCTCAAGGATGCAAGCGCACTGCCACCTACAGAGCCAGAGAGGGAGCTCAGCCTCCCGCCCTGCCCTTTCCTGATGCCGGGGCGCCCAGCAGCGGGTGGAGCTCGGATTCTTGCAGAGGCCTCCCCATTCATTACCATAACAAAGGCTTCGTCTTCCCTTGGGCAGTTGAAGACAAGCTAAAAGCCTGGTCTCGCTTCAGCAATCTTAGGAACTCACCTCTCCCATCTCAGCAGAGGCCCTGCACTTTGTTGTTATTGTTGTTTTAATTTATATTAATTATTATTAATTTATTTTTAAAAACTGTATCGGAGTAGAGTTGATTTACAATGTTGCGTTGGTTTCGAGTGTGCCGCTAAGTGAAGCGGTTATATATTTACATGCGTACGTGCTAAATCGCTTCAGTCCTTTCCGACTCTTTGCGACCCCATGGACCGTAGCCCGCCATGCCCCTCTGTCCAGGAGATTCTCAAGGCAAGAATATTGGAGTGGGTTGACATGCCCTCTTCCAGGGGATCTTCCCAACCTGGGATCAAACCCATGTCTATTACATCTCCTGCACTGGCAAACGGGTTCTTTACCACTAGCGCCACCTGGGAAGCCCATACATTTACATATATCCCCCTTTTGAAAATATTCTTTTCCCACCTAGGTCACTATAGGGTACTGGGTAGAGAGAGTCTTCTGTGCTGTACAGTAGGCCCTTATTAGTTTTTTATTTCATATACAGTAGCGTGTATAAGACATGCTCCCCAGGTGGCCCAGTGGTAAAGAATCTGCCTGCCACCACAGGTGACTTGTAGGAGACTTCGGTTCGATCCCTGGGTTGGGAAGGTCCCCTGAAGTAGGAAATGGCAACCCACTCTAGTATTCTTGCCTGGAAAATCCCATGGACAGAGGAGCCTGGCGGAGCTGCAGTTCATGGGGTGAAAAGAGCAGGACATGAGTGAGGGACTGAGCGCATGCAGTGTGTGCATGTTAATCCCGTCTTCCAATTTATCCCTCCTCCCCGCCCGGACACCTTCATAACCACAGCTTGTTTGTTATATCTGTAACTCTATTTCTGTTTTGTGTGTAAGGTCATTTGTATCCTTTTTTTAGATCTCACATATAACTCAGCTCTGCCATCGCTTCCTCAGGGCAGCCTGGTTTTGCTTTTGTTGCTCTTGTGTCTGATTGTAATGTTTTTGGTTTGGTCATTTAAAAAATTATTTCTGATTGTCCCAAAATATACATAACGTACAATTTGACTGTCTGAACCAGTTTCAAGTGTAGGATTCAGCAGTGTTAGTACATTCCCGTGGTTGTGCAACCATCACCTCCATCCAGCTCCGGAATTCTTTTCATCTGAAATCTTTCATTCACAAAGCAGATCTCCACTTCATCGCCCCTCAGCCCTTGGCAACCACCATTCTGCATTGTCTTTGTGAGTTTGATAACTGTTGTTCAGTCGCTCAGTCACGTCTGACTCTTTGCGACCCCATGGACTGCAGCACGCCAGGCTTCCCTGTCCATCACCAACTCCCAGAGCTTGCTCACACTCATGTCCATTGAGTCAGTGATGCCATCCAACCATCTCATCCTCTGTCGTCCCCTTCTCCTGCCCTCAATCTTTCCCAGCATCAGGGTCTTTTCCAATGAATCAGGTCTTTGCATCAGGTAGACAAAGTATTGGAGTTTCAGCTTCAGCATCAGTCCTTCCAATGAATATTCAGGACTAATATCCTTTAGGATGGACTCGTTGGATCTCCTTGCAATCCAAGGGACTCTCAAGAGTCTTCTCCAACACCTCAGTTCAAAAGCATCAATTCTTTGGTGCTCAGCTTTCTGTATGGTCCAACTAGTTTATTTCACTTAGTAGAATGTCCTCAGGATTCATCCATGTTGTTTCATGTGTCAGAATTTCCTTCCTTTTTGAGGCTGAATAGTGATATTGCATTGTATAGACAGATCACGTTTTGTTTATGCACTCATCTGTTGACAGACACTTGGATTGCTTACACCTTTAGGTCACTGTGAATAAAGTTGCTGTGAACATGGGTGTACGGATATGTTTTTGAGACCCCGCTTTCAGTTCTTCTGACAAACACCCAGGAGTGCAATTTCTGGGTCATCTGATAATTCACTTATTAATACTTTGAGGAACTGCCATACTGTTTTTCATAGTGGCTCTTTGGTGTAATTTTACATTGATTTGTATGATTATTTGGTTGTCTGTCTTATCATCATGAGAGCAGGAATCCTGTATATTTTGCCTCTTTGCCTCCTGCATCTCAGTATCTAGAACAACAGTGCCTGGGACTGAGTAACCCCTGAGATACCCGATGAATTAATGAATGAGTCAGCCTAATAGGAACGAGAGAGCATAGAGGCTTGGTCTCTGCACTTAATGAGTTTACAAATTAGTTGGTGAGATGTGACATCCACAAGGCAGGGAGCAAATAAAGGAAGGACATAATTATGCACTAAACTGTAGTTATGCTTTTCAGCGTAGGAGGAATTGAGGCAAGGAGAGATTTTCATGGGAGGGGACAGTCAAGGGAAGATGGGTAGGTTTGGACTAGAAGGGAGGAAAGCAATTAGAACAAGGAAATTGTCTTTTCCCCCTGGCTTTATTGAGGTACAACTGATAAAAATTGTATATATTTAAGGCATATAATTGGATTTTTTTTTTCTTCTGCATTGTGCAGCTTGTGGGACTTTAGTTTCCCAACCAGAGATGGAACCCAGGCTCTTGGCAGTGAGGGCATGGAGTCCTAACCACTGGGTTGCTAGGGAGTTCCCTGGATGTTTTGAAATACCTATATCTTGTAAAATAATTGCCACACTCAAGTTAATTAACATATACATCACTTCACATAGTTATTTATGTGTGAGTGATGAGAAAACTTCATGTCTACCCTCTAGTTCATGCGGTATTTTTCTTAATTTTGTTTAATTAACATATGTCCGCCAGGATCCATGTCATCACAAATGGTAGGATTTCCATCTTTTTAAAGGCAGAACAATATTCTATTGTGTATATGTGCTGCATGCTCAGTTGTGTCGGACTCTTTGCAACCCCATGGACTGTAGCCAACCAGGCTTCTCTGTTCATGGGATTTCCCGGGCAAGAATACTGGAGTGCATTGCCATTTCCTTCTCTGGGGGATCTTCCTGACCCAGGATTGAACTTGCTGATCCTTTCCCACTGAGCCATCAGGGAAGCTTTTTGTATATAGACCACTTTTCTTTGTCCATTCATCCAGCGATGAACACTTCGGTTCTTTCTGTGTCTTGGCTATTATAAACAATATTGCCATGAACATGAGAGCTCAGATATCTCTTTGAGATACTGGCATAGTTTCTTTTGAATATATCCCCAGAAGTGAGACTGTTGAATCATAAAGTAGTTCTATTTTTAATTTTGGGAGGAACCTCCATACTGTTTTCTGTAATGGCTGTACTATTTTACATTCCCACCAAGGGGAGGACAGTCTTTTTGTTTTATTTTTTTAATATTTATTTACTTGACTGCCTTACTTGGGCTTCCCTGGTGGCTCAGAGGGTAAAGCGTCTGTCTGCAATGCTGAAGACCCGGGTTTGATCCCTGAGTCGGGAAGATCCCCTGGAGAAGGAAATGGCAACCCACTCTAGTATTCTTGCCTGGAGAATCCCATGGATGGAGGAGCCTGGTGGGCTACATTAGTCCATGGGGTTGCAAAGAGTCGGACACAACTTCAGGACTTCACTTTGACTGCCCTGGGCCTTAGTTGTGACACCTGGCATCTTCTGCTGTGAAGCGGACTCCAGCTGCAGTCCATGGGCTGTTGCCCCACAGCATGCAGGATTTTAGTTCCCCAACCTAATATTGAACCTGCATCCTCTGCGTTGCAAGGCAGATTCCTAACCACTGGACCACCAGGGAAGTCCCAGGGAGGGAACAGTCTTCACCTGTGATTCTTTGGGGGCCCATGTTGGAGGGCTTGGCGCAGGGTTAGTTAAGGACCCTGAAGACGTCTGTCCAGGGTCAGCAGTAGGAAGTGTGGCCCAGCAGTGGACACAGGAAGTCCCAAGCCGGTTGTTCCAAGCTGCCTTGGGGGATTCAGGAGGCAGACTCCACTTGAAAATTAAGCAGGTGGGCAGTACAGGGAGATCAGGCATGTCTCCCTCCAGGATGCTCAGCAAGAGTCCATTCCCTGGCTGCAGACCTGGAGCAGCAAAGTGTTGCTTGGTCTAATAGGTCTGGGTGCTTAGGTAGGAACCAGGGGTGGAAGTGGGGAGCACAGCATCATGAGAATTCAGACGCAGGATGAAAACCATCAGCAGAAGGTATGAATTGGACCTTCCCTAGCCGGGGCTTTATATTCTGGCCTGGAGAATTCCATGCACTGTATAGTCCGTGGGGTTGCAAAGAGTGACATGATTGATCGACTTTCACTTTCACTTTTCCTTAGCCCTGAAACACTACCAACCCACACAACAGGAGGTATTCTTTGTGCTAAGGGGCTGCAACCACAAAAGTCTTCTTTACCCCTTTTGGCTCTGTCAGGATGGGCTCTGGAGCTGGGGCGGGCCTGGCATTGCAGACTGGAGCAGCATGGAAACGGAGGGAAACGGGGTGTGTGAGGAGGGAAGGCAGGAGAGGAACCTGACTGGCTGAGACTCAGGGATCCGGTTTCATGGGGTCAAAGCTTGATATAGGCTGATATCTGGGCAAGTTCGGGGGGGAAGCTGGCAGGCAAGTGGAGGCTTCACCTATTTCACTTTCCTCCTCCTCAAGTGAGGAGGAAAAAAAACCATTGCTTTACTATTTGAGCAATACTTTTGACTTTTATTTTATTAAAAAAAAACTATTTATTTACTTTATTTTTGGCTGCACTGAGTCGTTGTTGGTGCACGCAGGCTTTCTCTAGTTGCAGTGAGCAGGGGCAACTCTTTCTTATGCTGTGTGGGCTTCTCATTGCCGTGGCTTCTCTGGTTGCAGAGCGCAGGCTCAATAGGGTGTGTGGGCTCAGTAG